GAAAGAAAGGCATCAGTGTCATGTTGCAAATACCCTTTAGAGTAGATTGGAGCTACTTTGGCTCATATCCAGGCTGAAAATGTCCACATGTCCAAAAAGACACTGCTCCAGGTGTCAATGGGTTAAACTCCCTTAAAACCGAGTGAACGGCAAAAGAATTTACAACTAAACTAGCACAAACAAACAAACGCTCAGCCGGACAAAAAGACGGCTGGGAGTGCAGAAAACATCTGTGCTATGAAACGTCTTTTGAAAAATGCCTTTTCACCATATTTCCGGCCGTTTCGTCTCGAATAGTTCCGCGACTGTCGCTTGGACTGTCCACGCATCGCGCGAGTAACTTCCTCTGAAGAACTGGGTACTATATCTGAAAATAACTTAAGAGGGATTACCTTGGGTATAAGGCCTATTTGAGTGATTCACTCTCTTATCTTGATCTTCTTTTGTATACTATCACGAATGCTGTTCTCTTATTGGCTACACTACTCTACTCTACTCACTTTACTATCCAGCGATAGAAATCTCGAGCTCGTAACTAATTGTTAGATAAAACAACCAGAAAAAGAGGGAAAATATGAGAGTGAGGAAGAAAAAGACCGACATTCCTCAGAATGTTTTAAACTACTTTGGACAAAGAACTCTTGACCGGGCTGTAATTTTCCTCAACATTGTGGACAATGCTGACTTACATATTCTTGTACTTGTCTCCACTGTGTCGTTGTAAACGTTACGAGCAACGCATTTATAAGTGGCCTGATCCGCGGGCTGAAATTCACCAATCACAAGCTCGCTGGTAAATTCATCGGCAGTGACGTTGTTAATGACGGGCACGCTGACGTCATTCTTGTACCACGTGACTGTGGGTAGAGGTAATCCCTTGGCAGAACACCTGACTCGGAGCGACTCTCGAATACTCGGCACAGAGACAGACGACGGTGGTGTTGACGAGAAGACGGGAAGTACTGAGAAAGTGAATAAAAGAATTGTCCATTTAATCTTAGTTTCCTGTATCAAAACAGGCCTCTGCGTTGACATAAAGCCAATAAAATACGCGAAAAAGCGACAAACGACAAATGTTAAAGTTATGATATGGCGAGCTAGTCTTAAGATAAATCCGCATGTCTTGATTGGTTCTTTCTTGGTCGAGATTTTGCATAAGCCTTGTATTTTTTGCTTTCGTTTAAAAGCTGGCAAATTCAAGGCCCTAGTGCCATTAAATAAGCTACTTACTAAACTAGTTTGCTAGAGCCGTACTGCGCTCGGTCCTTGCTGACCTTTCTGCCACGACCTCGGGCCAACACTCCCCAGTTAATAAGAGGTTATTACCCGAACGGTAGCATAGTAGGAGGAAAAGTAAAATGAAGGGGGAGATTATACTTCTAAGGGGAAGAAGTTTATCCCAGTGACGGCGAATTCGTGCTAGTAAAATGTTATATTAATTCACTGACCGCTCACAATATAATACGGCTTACCAACAGACTCTGCTTTCAGAAACGTTCCATGAATGACCATTCCATGTTTGTTCGACGCAGTACAAAAGTAAATGCC